GAGGTACGTAAATTAACTTCGTATAGACATACTATTATAACGTAAGTTATACGATAAATTAATAACAAAAAAAATAATCGTTATATTTCGATTACGTTGTTTTCGTAATCGTTGCAAGCCATAATCGTAATCGCGATTCAAATACGATGAATTGAGCAGCCCTAGGTGTGATTATTATTTTATTTTTGTATATATATATATTTTTAAGTATCAGTTCCATAAGGACTTTTAATTGACTTTTCCCACAAATCTTGATTGATATATGATTTTTTTTTCACATATTTGGCTTTTAACAAATATTGTGACACCTGTGATTTTAATATTACACTTCTTCATATTGGGTGTCTGCCCTCTCTTCGTAATGACACTGCTGTGGGCTGATAGTTAATTCCAATCTTAAGTTATCCAAGTGGCACTGGCAGCTGTTAGTAAGAGGTTAGATACGATGTAGGTTCGTTGAGTTACACAGAACACGGCTCCCTCTTTTTAGGTTCCTCCCAGACCAAACCATCCTCTGGTTTTCTGATGTTTTTTCACTAAGTTAAAAAAAACTGACCTAAGAATCCTCTCTGTCCAGGCAGGTGAAAGCCAGTTGGAGGAAAACGGCCTTCAGATCAGCAGTTCGTTCAGCCTGACTCCTGAAACCCCATCTGGTCGCCCGACAGCCTCCTTCAACCCGGGGCGGGGCCAGCTGGTGCAGAACGGAGACTCGGGGACACACAATAGAGCAGGTAATGCTTCTATTATGCAGGGAAGGAGATCTAACTTGAGCATGTTCACACAGGTCAAATGTGACGGTTGTTACTGAAATGGTGAGTGAGTGCAGGTTAGCAGAACTTGGCTTGAACCCTCAATGTAAACTGAATCCAGTGAAAGATATGTGAATCCAACAGAACACATGTCTCTGTTTATGTTCTTATATTTTAGATAGATAGACAGATAGATGATAAATAGATAGATGGATGGATAGATGGATAGATAGATAGATAGATAGATAGATAGATAGATAGATAGACAGATGATAAATAGATGGATAGATAGATAGATGGATGGATGGATAGATAGATAGATAGATAGATGGATAGATAGATAGATAGATGGATGGATAGATAGATGGATAGATAGATGGATAGATGGATGGATAGATAGATAGATAGATGATAGATAGATAGATAGATAGATGGATAGATAGATGGATAGATGGATGGATGGATAGATAGATATATGATAGATGGATAGATAGATAGATAGTAAGTACGTTATTGATCCCAATTTGGGAAATGTTTGCTTTTCTTTTTGTTCTGAGGAACCTCCATGTGTCTTCTATGTTTCCTACTTTTACACTCCTGCTTGTGTTCAGAGGATAGGAGTTAACTTTAGCGCATTTCCAAACTTTACTCTGTGAAATTCATAAAGTCATCATCATAAAATGTAAAAATGAATGTGTCAAACAGAGTAATATACTGTAACTGTAACCAGCTCTCCTTCACCTGTTTACGGGAGTAACAGATACAGTTACGGTGTTCAGATGATATTCACAAACACAGCCTTCTAAACAACTCAAAAGCATGACCATCCTAAAAAAAGCTTTATTGTTGCTGTAAAACAATGCAACGTCATGCAGCAAGGCACAGTGAGGGCTTTGTAGTCTGTGAGCTGTTCTGTGGGACAGTGGGACAGATTGATGTTCCTGTCATCTCCTCCAGGTGGTGCTGTTGACTACACTGGTACTCTTTTCAAAAAGACTTGATTCTTTAGATCAGGGGTGTCCAAACTGAGGCCCGTGGTCCATTTTGAAACGGCCCTCAGCAAATTCAAGAAGTATAATGAGATATGGCCCACACATGAAACTTGTGCTTTTCCCCTTAGCAATGTGAGAATTCTGTTTTAAGGATTGACCTACCAATACTTTACTTTAATCTTATTCAAGTATCGAGTATCATTTACCTACATTTGATTGATTTTGCTAACTTATAACTTAACTCAGGAGGCAACATGCCTCACTGCTAGTGAGTGGCCCAGCCCTTCGTATGTTTTTCTGTATGTGGCCCTCAGTGAAAAAGGTTTGGGCACCTCTGCTTTAGATCAAGTTTTATCTTTCCAGGGTGTCCGCGGGGTCTTAGAAAGTATTAAAAGTTGATAAATCAATTTAGCGAAAATTAAGGCTATTAAAAAGTAATAAACGGCATTTTCCAAGGTTTTACATTTTGTAGCTTGTTTTCAATAAGTATATAAATTGTCCAAAGAGGATGTATTCTACAGTCTGCCTGAATATAATCATTGCGTAGGTGTGTAGTGTGATTCTGTGTAGTTTATTTATGGCATCCCGTTGGATTTGACGTCATCTGAACAGGACATCTCACGCTCACTGCTTGATAGCGCGGAAGGTCCGTTTACGCCGGTTGTTAAACAACATCGTTATGGGGAAATGCAAGTCTGCGTCCAAATGGTTTGAAGATAAGGAGGAAGGGCAATCAATACTGTATATAGTCAATGTGAGGTAAAGTGTGTCGCCAAGGTAACCGGTTAGAACTCCACGTGGCGATGAGGTCTTAAAATGTATGGAAAGGGTCTTTAAAGGTTTTACATGTGACTCCTGGATTCCTGCATATACCCTGTTTTCATTCTTTCTTTCTTTCCCTCCAGACTCGTGGATCTCTCAGTCAGCTTCAGTTCCCAGGAACCAGAAGCAGTCGGGGGTGGACTCTCCCTCCCCGGCCTCCTCTCTACCCAAACCACCGGGCCAGTCTCCCTCCAACACTTCCTCCTCCGGATCGCAGGCCAGGACCGTCAAGGTGTGTGTCGTTGTGTTGGGTGAATGTGGAGGAAGACCCTGTCGTAGCAGACCGACTTTAGTTTTTGAAGTTAGAACTTGTATCCAGAGTTAGCTGTTCAGTTGTCCGTGCAACTTTATATGTGTTATACTTTCATATTGAATATAATCCTTTCCTGCTATAGTTATCTTCGTAATTGTCTTTTTTTACAATTACTCCTGAGGTTTTCTTATTTATTTTCTCCATCTTGTATTTCTTTAAATACAAAAATGTGTCTTTCCTTGGTTTTCCTCATCTTGAAAAATTAAATTATTTTTTAATTCAGCTTTTCACATGTAGACAATCATAGACAATAGTAGGGATGTCCCGATCACCTTTTTTTGCTCCCGATCCGATTCCGATCATTTGATTTTGACAATTTGCCGATACCTATTTTTCCCGATCCGATCTTTATGCAATGCATTAAGAGAAAAAAAAGCATTCAACTTGTCCCTTAAGGTTATTTTTTTTATTTAAATTGGATATTCTATCCAACATGGATATAGCTTCTTTCTTTCACAGCAGCATTGGATCAGTTCAGTTGTGCAGCATTGGATCAAAACAAAATAAAGCTTTCAGTACTCGTTAGCTTACTGCTACAATTAGACACTGCGCCCTGCCCACTCTGTTGCCAGATTTGAGAGAAATAAGCAACCAGGTCTATGAAAACAAGCCCCAAAGAAGCAACACATACATGATGTTCTGTCATTTGAAACCAAAACTAAGGCCTCAGGATGACTTTAAGACTTGAACATGGTCATTTTTGTTTTGTAACATTAAATACAAAATTTTAAAAAATCCCGATCCCCGATTTTTTTTCTCCCAATTCCAATCTTTTGAAAATCACGTGATCGGCTCCGATCCCCGATCACGTGATCGGATCGGGACATCTCTAGACAATACCATATTCTCTGTAAGCCTTGTGTAGTTTACAATTAAATCACATATCAAACATACAAATGTTGTGGGTAATACAGAGGAAGGCCTCACTGACCTTCAAACATGCTATAACATACAGTACAAACATACACACGAACAAGGCTACGGGGGAACTTGAAACTGTTTTAAAGACAGATGTGTAAATCCAAGGTGTGTCTCTATTAGGCTAAGAAGGTTTTGGGTAATGTGTATCCGCAGTGGCTCCTCAGATGGATGTTGGCTCTAGTGGCAGCTAATAGAGTGGTAGATAACGTATCACCGTTGTATAGCCGCCTCACAGTGAAGCCATTGTTCTGTTTGCTGATCCCAGGTGACCTGTGCTAACTGTAAGAAGCCTCTGAAGAAAGGACAGACGGCCTACCAGCGTAAAGGCTCCACCCACCTGTTCTGCTCCACCACCTGTCTGTCCGCCTTCTCTCACAAACCCGCCCCCAAGAAGAGCTGCACCATGTGCAAGAAGTGAGTCCCAGACACACCACACATTGAGAGAGTTTACGGTTTGAATTTAGCATTGTGCATGTAGCGTCGCCCCTTCACCAAACAAAGGGGGTTGTAACAATTAACCACATCTTTATGTTCAATTAAGTAAAGTTTTTTTAAATTTGAAATATTCTTAAAAAAAGATAAGATCTTTATTGATCCCAACACAAACATTTCCCAAATTGGGATCAATAAAGTACTATTTTATGTCTCTTATCTTATCTCTTTTTAACAATATTTTTGCATCAACCAATTATTTATTAGTATCTTCCTGCATGATGTCGACACGATATTCTAATGAGGACATTTATTTTTTTGTTTTGTACGGTGTATTTGACAATCCATTTAAAAAATACACTTCCACTAAAACACACTTAGAAAACATCAATGATATCAAAATAATATGACATGACTTTTTTGTGATCCTTGTAGTATTTAAATGAATTAAGGTATTCAATTAAATCTCAATTTAGATAAAGGTGTACCTGTGCATGGAGATAGTGGAGCGCGGCATCTCAAAGCATCAAAATGTTAATCAAACAATTGGAAACTGTCCTATTTTAACATTGACAAAACCGTGATGATTATGTTTTATCGAGTCAATTCTGTCTTTTTCACTAATGTCATGGTAACCTGTCTTTAAAGAGCAGAAACTCTGAGTCAGATCATAAAGTGATCCAGCAGACTGATTGGTTAGCCACAGCTAAACCTGGAGACCCTGTACCTCAGGCAGTTACAGCGGTTATCCAGCTCCATATGAGACGATGACTCCCACCCTCTGCACTCAGAATTCAAGCTTCTTCCTTCGGGCCGGAGGTTACTCGTCCCAAGGAGTAGAACGAAGCGGTATAAAAACAAACAGTTATATCCCAGCAGCTATTGCACAAATTAACACATCATAGGAGCGTCACACAGATGCCTATTTTTATTTATTTATTTAATTGTGAATTTTGAATGTCCATGTTTGTACTAGTGTTTTCCTTCTTAAAATGTTTTTCAAATATTTTGAGATTTGGTTGAGCAGGGTATACTTGTACTTTTACTTGTCCTTTATTAGAGATGTGTTGTTTGTGTTTGTTTTTAGTGTCAGGATGGAACCCTTGTGTCTTTTTCTCTGCAAACAGAATCTACCTACGGGTACAAATACATAACCTGAACCTGTTTCTATTATCATATGTAGATAGATCGATAAGTACTTTATTGATCCCAATTTGGGACATGTTTGCATTGCAGCAGAATAAAAAACAAGGCAATGTGCACAAGAGAAATGAAGACACAAGAAATAAGCAGTGTACTAACTGATGGACATTTGTTCTGTAAGTGTATCTCTGCTCTGTGTTGTGTTTTCAGGGACATCACAAACATGAAGGGGACCATCGTGGCCCAGGTGGACTCCAGCGAGGCGTTTCAGGAGTTCTGCAGCACGGGCTGTCTCGGAGCGTACGAGAACAAACAGAACCCGCCCAAATCAATCCTCAAAACCAAATGTACCGTCTGCGGCAAACTCACAGAGGTCAGTCTGTCTGAATACTCCTTTCCTTTCCTTTCCCCGTCACTCTCAATCAGAGCAACACATGCCTCTATGCTCCTCACAATGGAATGAATAATTTAGTAGTTGAATAAAGTCTAAAGAGTGAGAACCAGATGTGTGAAAGCCTGCAGCTGTTCTCGTCCATATTGAAAGTATAATCATGGCTTAAGCAATCTCCAGGTGTTTGTAATAATCGGACTCCCTCCGGATGCACTACATTACTAACGTCCTTAAATATAATGCAGTCCAACACACAGAGAGTAGAGTGTGTCCTATTCGTCACCCTTTCCTCTCTTTTCTCACCCCTTAATGAATGTTATCTTACCCTCATTTCATCGCCTCTGTCTCTCCTTTTCTTCCTCCTCAGGCCGCTTTCATTCAATATTTATACCTTTCTTCTTCCTCGTCTGCCTTCACTCTTCTCTTGTTCTCTCTCCTTTCTTGACTTCTCTTTTTTCTCCATCAGTAACATTCAGTATGGTGTGTTACGGCCTCCAACTCAGTCTCCATGGCATCCTTGAACTAGTTGGTGGTTGTCTCAACTCCACAAGTGTATCCAAATTTAAATTAACCAACATCCGTTACTTGAGAGCATTGCAAGACTTTCCAGCTCTCCCATTCAGTATCAATCTGTGGGATGTTTCTGCATCACGGCTAGCCAGTACTTCTGTCACATAGCAACCACAACCATCTGCATTTTTTCATCACTTATGCATACTTCTTGAATCATTTGCGTATAAAAGCAATAGCAATGCCCCGATCAAACTACACTTGTGCTTTCAACAGCCTCTGAAATGTCTAAATTGACCAATCACAATCCAGTATTCAACCAAGCTGTCTAATAAAAGTCTATAGCACCTATGACTGCGGCTGCTAACGTCAGCTAACGTGTCGCTTATGGTGTATCAGTCAAACAAACTCAAGTGTACGCTAACTGTGGAAAGGTAAATAAAGTAAAATTGTTCAACTCTTGCAGTTTTCCCTTCTGCATTTCTCTCCCTCTCCAAAGATCCGGCACGAGGTTAGCTTTAAGACTGTGACCCATAAGATCTGCAGCGACACGTGTTTCAACGTTTACCGGCGGGCCAACGGGTTGATCATGAACTGCTGCGAGCAGTGTGGAGACTACCTGCCCTGCAGATCCACCGCCAACCACTTCCTGCTGGTGGACGGCCAACAGAAACGCTTCTGCTGCCAGAACTGCATCAGGGACTTCAAGCAGGTACTGTAGCTAACTAACTGTGTGTTCATAAAGGGTTACAGTAACCAAAGGATGCAAGTAGAATAGCCATAAATATTTCTAAATGGTATTGGTTGCAGTCTTTGAGGGGCGGAGGTGTGTTTATGAATGTACCAAAATAAAATGTTTCTACTAGCTCTGTGTGTGTGTGTGTGTGTGTGTGTGTGTGTGTGTGTGTGTGTGTGTGTGTGTGTGTGTGTGTGTGTGTGTGTGTGTGTGTGTGTGTGTGTAAATCATTTCAGCTGTGGTAACCCCCCCTCCTACACGCAGCCAATGTACTGCAGTACAATTATTAACCTGACCTCCTAAAATATAAAAAAAAAAGTACATACCATTAATGGGGAATAAATATCCAAGTTGACAGCTAATGATCATTAAATGAACGCAAAATGCTGCTCAAGTAATGAAGGTTTTTTCTAGGCTTTTACGGGGAATCCAGAGGAAGAACATCTTTAAATATCACTCAGTTAGATAGTTGTCGATTGTTAATGTGTAAATGATGACATACAACAACAGATTATAGGTAAATAGTTTTTGAGCCTAGATCTAAAAACAGAAGAACAGATTAACCGTGGATGAGTTTCAGCATTTAACCAGTTTAACCACCAGGTTAAGTATATCTTTTTTAAGTCAAAGTGCTGTCTTTTTGATGGCTGATTAAAGAAATCACCAACCAGTGTCTGTTCTAAACGTCCCAATATGTTTATGATCTCCAAATGAAGATTTAAGTTTAATTGGACATGTCTTTTTTATTTTAATGCAAGATCTCTTTTAAAACGTCCAGTAATCCTAATTTTACTGGATATTGTTGTGAATAAATTGTGTGGCAGAATAATATTAGCCGGAAATGTTGGAATTGTATTTGTTGCTTGGCAACACCAGCTTATTGGATATTACACTGATAACAATAGAAGAATCTATGGAGTCTAATTCCAGTGTTATTAAATTCAGTGAACTATGAGCGGATGTTTGTCCAGTAATGAGCTCTCGTGTACAAGTACAAACGTTTGTGGATGATCTAATCCTGGCGGAGAGAAATTGTGAGCTTTTAGATTAGTTATCTTTTCCATTTCCGACCAGCTATGTCGTCAACGTTTCTCTTGGAAATACACAACTGTTGACCGCTGGCAAACTGTCCACTCCTCTAATTAGAGAACATGTATTTTGTAGCAGCAGGAGATAAACTCTTAATGATGTTATGCCTGTCAGTTTTTAAACAACAAAGGGCTAAAAATCCATTTAGTAATTACAGATTTGCACACTGAGGGAAATGATATATCATCCACACACAGATATCATTGAATTATCCTTGTTGTACTGAGAGAAGGATGCTTTGTGTCTCAGGGCGCATATTGAAGACTTTATCAGGTAATGCGATAATTATTAGATTTCTAGGCCTCATGTTGCTTCTCCTGGTCACTGTGATGATCGCAACGGTGCTCTAGGAGGACATTCAGGTGATAAGGTGACAGGTTTTTATGTAAATGGGACGGGACAAAAAGAGAGAGAATCTTTGTTCCTTTTATTTTAGCATAATAGGTGACCTTTTAATATAATCAAGTTGCTTGTTGTTCTGA